CCCTTTTTGTATCTATTCATCCTAGCGATCACTCCGAGGCTCCATCTCTTCGACTCTCGAACTCGGAAACCTCAATCCTTCCGCCTTCCGATTCTTCACATCGCTTCATACACTTACATTTTAGGCTTCTCTAGTCCTTCAACAGTGTAAGCATAGACGCGGTTTAGAAGAACCGAATGGCGCTGTCTTTCGACGGAGGGGGGCAGCACTTTTACGACTTTCCATCGACGTGTCGACCCATCTAGACAGCCTCTTCTCGAGTTGACAGGTTTTACCATGATGGCTTGACGAGCTTGCTCCAGCTTCACAAGAGTTCACAGGTTTCACCAGAGTGAGACTTGTAAACCAGAACTAGTGAAGCAACGAAAAAGCAAAATGCCCATTCCCCCGCCGGCATACTGCGCCGAATCGAATTACTGTACCAACCAACGAGAACGAAAAGAACTGGAACTCTTTCTCAGTTTTATCCATTCTTGCTGGTTTCACTAACGTGCCTTATGAGCTCAGTGCGGATTCCATCTTGCAAAATTTTTTTGAAAATTTTTGCAAGACTTCAGCTTTTTTGTTTAGGCAGTAGCAATATTAGTTTAGCAATAATTTAAAATTTCTCAGTTCGTATAAGCCAGACATATGAAGACATTTGGGTTGGAATTTCTGGTGAATATTTCGCAACAAAACATCCTATAGCTATGAAGCCGAACAGGACGAAGAGAGGTAAGTTCTGACTTTCAAATAATCTACTACTCAGTCACACTCGGGTGGACCCGAGAGTCATCACTGCGAATCACTTACTCCTCCACAGTCCCACCACTTTTCAGTGTAAAGGCAGAGTCCGCTTCCTGAAGCGATGGTCGGAAGAGGGGGAAGCGCGTAAAATAGGAAAAATCAGCAAATCATGAAAGATAGGAACTGAATACGCTTCTCTTTTGTAATTCAAGCAAGAAATGATATTTTGTGAGAACTAAGTCGCAATAGAGAACGTTGGTGTCAAAGGTGAGGATATGCTGGGCGGTAAATTCTTGAGGGTTCTCTCTATGGCTGTGTTCATACTGTGCGGCATCGTCCATCAGCGTCTACCAGCACCCACTAGTTCTGGGCGTCCGGCAGCGTCCGCGACTAGGAAAGTATAGATATCGCACTAGCGTCTGCCAGCGTCTGGAGGACTAGGGAGCATAGGTATCGTGTTGGCGTCGACCAGCGTTCAGCAGCGTCCACCACTGTTTAACAGCGACCGAGAGTAGAGATATGGGAAAGAAGGAGGGTAGCAAACGGCTAATGCCGTTTGGACTCCAGCAATTTCGGCACCGAGCTCATTTTTAAATTGCCTAAGTCACCAAATCCGCTAAAAACTTGTATATAGGGGTAGTTTAACATCCTGATTACGAATATGACATTCACTCTTGTCGCTGGCGCTAATGGATGACACTACGATTATCTGCGCTCTGCTAAGGCTGAGCCCAGGAGGTAATCGTAGTGTCATCCTTAGCGCCAGCGACAAGAATGAATGTCATATTCGTAATCAGGATGTTGAATTACCCCTATATACAAGTTTTCAGCGGATTTGGTGACTTAGGCAATTTAAAAATGAGCTCGGTGCCGAAATTTCTGGAGTCCAAACGGCATTAGCCGTATCAAACAGCTGGATTAGGCGTCGTAAAACTGCGGCGTGTGCAGCCGCTCCGTACAAGTACGCTATACCGTACATTAGATTGCATAATTCTGTGCTTTAAGTTGTGCAGTGTGGCTGCACACGAAGCTATTTTACGACGCCTAATCCAGCTATTTGCGATCCTCCCACTTCCCCATACTCTCTACTCCGGTCGCTGGTGAACGCTGGTGGACGCTGGCAGACGCTAGATCGATACCTATACTTCCCTAGCCCTCGAGACGCTGGCAGACGCTGGCTAGATGCTGGCAGACGCTGACAGACGCTAAGTCGATATCAATACTTTCCCAGTCGCTGATGCTGCCGGACGTCTAAAAGGCAGATGGCACGATGATTTGGTACTCGGCCTAAAATGCTAGCAGGGCGCTAATAGTGAGAAAATGGCTATAGAACGGAGTCAAACGGTCACAATCCTGCGAAGAAAAAAGCACTCTTCTTAGTGAGCTAAGAATCAATTTCGGACG